CCCCACCCCTTATGCAAATGGCCGGGATGGCACCACGGGCTGATGCAAGGCGGGCACGGCGCAGCCACCGCCGCCACGGCGGGGCCCGGTGGCCCCAACCGCCTCTCCCGGCGGTGGGCGGGCGGGCGGCCATGGGCGGCGGGGAGCCGAGGGCCGGCCTCACCCCCCCGCCATGCGGAGCCGCTCTCGGGAGGCAGAACTCCCCCCGGGCCACCGGGGGAAGGCGGGCGGAGGTGCCCGGCGGGTGGGCTGCGGGTCAGCCCCGGCGGCGACGGCGGCAGCGGACGGAGAAGAAGAGGGGGGGATGTCTCTTGGGTGGGGACCCTGCCCAGGGCTGAAGGAAATCTGGTCTGTCTTTCAGGACATCGATTTGATTGACATCCTGTGGAGACAGGATATTGATCTCGGCGCTGGGCGAGAGATTTTTGACTACAGCCACCGTCAGAAAGAGAGCGAAGTGGACAAAGAGCTGAGCGATGGGAGGGAGCGAGGGGACAGCTGGAGGAGCGGAGGGAATGAGATCTTGGATAGAAACCTACTAGTTGATGGAGAGACCGGGGAGAGTTTCCCTGCGCAGGTAACAGCCCTGGGCCGGCCGGGCTGGGGGCTGCGCCCAGGGGGATGCAGCGGTTTTTGGGGGGTCCGTGCCCCCCGCCGAGGGATGCAGCGGTTTTGGGGGGGTCCGTGCCCCCCACCGAGGCAGTCGGGGCGTGTGGCTTTCACCGGGGATCTCCTGAGCTGCAGGATGAGGGTTTTGCCCGGTTGGGCGAGAGGATTTTGGTGGTGGGAGAGCGCAGGGCGGGCCGGGGAGCCGCAGCGAGGCAGGGCAGGGTGATGGCCGTGTCACCCTGGGCAGGACGTGGGGACGAGGGCGGCCGGTTCGCGCTGCGCCTTTGGGTTGTGTGGCAGAGGCGGTCGGTGGCGCGGGGAAGGCGCAGAGTCCCCCCCCCAGCCTGCAGCCCCGTCCTTGGGCTGGCAGCAGGGGAGCAGCAGCAGTAGGTGAGCAGAAAGCAGCACGTTTCCTTTCCCCGCCGGGCTCGGGGGGCTGCTGCGAGGCTCCCCCCCGGAGCGGGAGGATGGAGCCTGCGAAAACACTGGGTGGGGCCTCTGGCTCTTTTTTGGATGCGCCTGTAATAAAGCCCTGCTGTAAGGAGCTCCTTTCTCAGCGCCGCCACCCTCATCCCGGGGCTACGATTGCTTTGTGTTTTTACATCAGGTGCCCGGCGCGGAGGATCAGACAGCCCTGTCCCTGGAGGAGTGCCGGGGGGGGGGGCGGGGGGAGGGGGTGGGGGGGTGGTCACAATTAATTAAAGACTTCTGGCTTTGCTTCTAATGAGTTCATAAGCGAACTGTGGAGAGGGATAACTGCAACCAGTTTGCTTTGAACAAAGGAGAAGCGCTTGCCCGGGTGGAGGTGGAAGGGCATTGGGGATTGCTGGCTCCCTGCTCCGCCGGGGCCTGACTCTGCCTCACGTGGTCAGTTCCCAGCTGCGGATGTCTCCACCCTGAGCGAGGCCGTGCCCGGCGAGAGCAGGCCTGCGGGCATCCAGACCAGCCTGCTGTCTCCTCTCCTCGCCGAGACCGAGTCGCCCTTCGATCTGGAGCAGCAGTGGCAGGACCTCATGTCTATCATGGAAATGCAGGTGAGCTCCGGGAGGGGCTTGGGCTGGCAGCAGGGGAGCAGCAGCAGTAGGTGAGCAGAAAGCAGCACGTTTCCTTTCCCCGCCGGGCTCGGGGGGCTGCTGCGAGGCTCCCCCCCGGAGCGGGAGGATGGAGCCTGCGAAAACACTGGGTGGGGCCTCTGGCTCTTTTTTGGATGCGCCTGTAATAAAGCCCTGCTGTAAGGAGCTCCTTTCTCAGCGCCGCCACCCTCATCCCGGGGCTACGATTGCTTTGTGTTTTTACATCAGGTGCCCGGCGCGGAGGATCAGACAGCCCTGTCCCTGGAGGAGTGCCTTAGGCTGCTGGAGGCCACCTTCCCTTTCGGGGAGAATTCGGAGGTGAGTGGATGGGGCGACGGCTTCTGCCCCTCGGCGGATCCGCAGGCGGCGGCAGCAGCTCCCCTTCCCTTCCCTCGCTGGCCGGGGGGTTCCCTGCCTCTTGTGCCCCTACCCCAGCCCGCAGAGCCGGCAGTAAATTGGGTTAAGGCTGCTTAAGGAGGCTCCAGGCATCGTGCCTGTGATCCAGACCAGCCTGCTGTCTCCTCTCCTCGCCGAGACCGAGTCGCCCTTCGATCTGGAGCAGCAGTGGCAGGACCTCATGTCTATCATGGAAATGCAGGTGAGCTCCGGGAGGGGCTGTAGGACTGTTTGCCCCCCCCGTCCTCTCTTGAGTTTAGGTTGGATGGTTGTCCCACACACCCGATTCCTGGACAGTCGTGGTTTGGGGTTGGATGCAGCCGTTTTGGTTTCCTCCCAGCCCGTGTCTCTCCTTTCCCTTTTAGGTTGGATGGTTGTCCCATGCACCCGATTCCTGGACGGTTGTGGTTTGGGGTTGGATGCAGCTGATTTGGTTTTCTCCCAGCCCATGTCTCTCCTTTCAGTGGAGAGAGCTCCTGCCCTGGGATGTAGGAGCCTTGTCCTGTCCCTCACCGAGCTGTTTCCGCGTCTCTCCCCAGGCTATGGAAGTGAACAACACGACGGCAGAGACCCTCTACAACGGCACGAGCGGGGACCTGCTGACTTCGAACTACAGCCTCGCCCCCAACACTCCCATCAATCAGAATGTCAGCCTGCATCAGGCCTCCCTGGGGAGCTGCTCGCAGGACTTCTCCCTCTTCAGCTCCGAAATCGAAAGCCCCACCATGGCTGGGAGCTCGGCCTTGCTCCAGCTGGCGCCGGACAACTCCACCGGCCTCAACTCCACCTTCGGCTCCACCAACTTGAGCGGCATCTTCTTCCCTCCCCAGTTGAACAGCACGGTCAACGAGACGGCCGGCCCCGAGCTGCCCGACCCACTGGGAGGTCTCCTAGACGAAGCCATGCTCGATGAGATCAGCTTGATGGACTTGGCCATTGAAGAAGGTTTCAACCCCGTGCAGGCCTCCCAGCTGGAAGAGGAGTTCGATTCCGACTCAGGTCTTTCCCTGGATTCCGGCCACAGTCCTGCTTCTCTGAGCAGCTCGGAAGCTTCCTCCTCATCTTCCTCTTCCTCCTCCTCCTCTTCCTCCTCCTCGTTTTCTGAGGAAGGAGCTGTTGGCTACAGCTCAGACTCCGAAAACGTGGACTTTGAAGAAGCGGAAGGGGCGGTTGGATACCAGCCAGAGTACAGCAAGTTCTGCCGCATGAGCTACCAGGACCCGGCGCAGCTCCATTACCTGCCTTACCTGGAGCACGTTGGCCACAACCACACCTACAACATGGCCCCGGGGGCCCTGGATCCCGAGGAGCCCAAACTGCCCAACGCGGGGAAGAAGAGCAGCAAGGAGAAGCCGTCCGAGTTCCTGGACAAGCAGATGAGCAGGGACGAGCATCGAGCCAGAGCCATGAAGATCCCTTTCACCAACGACAAGATCATCAACCTGCCGGTGGAGGAGTTCAACGAGCTCCTCTCCAAGTACCAGCTGAGCGAGGCCCAGCTCAGCCTCATCCGCGACATCCGGAGGCGAGGCAAGAACAAGATGGCTGCCCAGAACTGCCGCAAGAGGAAGCTGGACACCATCCTCAACTTGGAACGGGACGTGGAGGACTTGCAACGGGACAAATCCAAACTGCTCAGGGAGAAAGTGGAATTCCTCAAATCCATCCGTCAGATGAAGCAAAAGGTGCAGAACCTCTACCAGGAAGTCTTCGGCCGCCTGCGGGACGAGAACGGGCAGCCCTACTCCCCCAGCCAGTACGCCCTGCAGTACGCCAGCGACGGCAGCGTCATCTTGATACCCCGCGCCGTGGCCGACCAGCAGGTCCGGCGGCAGGAGAGGAAACAGAAGGACCGGAGGAAGTGAAAAAGGGGGGGAACGGCCACGCGGGAGGAGTCGGGACACTCTCTCAAAAGTGAGAAACTGGAGAAGGGCTGAGCCTGGAAGTACTTTAGAGGAACTTTCATGCCTTCTTATCCGCTATATCTTCTCGAATACAAAAAAAAAACCCCCACAAAAAACAAAAAAACACAAACAAAAAAAAAAACAACCACCCACAAACGTGACTCTGCTGCCGGTCGGGGCGCGGGAGAGACTGCGGGACCCGCAGGCTGAGGTTGGAGGGGCTGGAGGGGCTCCCCGCGGGGAGGGACGGGGAGGAGCGGCCCCTGCGCTGCCCGGAGCCCGGCGCCTGCCGCGACCCCCGCGTCCTGGGGCGCAGGGAAGGAGCCGGCGGCACCGGGGGTGAGGTTGGCAGAGGTGGAAAAACTACTGTTAGGAACTGGCTTTAAATAAGACAAGAGATTTAAGCAAACGAACTGAAAACAAGTTATAGGAGAGACATTTTTCTGAACTTCCAAAGTTCTGTGATTTCAGGTAGTTGGTTTTTTTTTTCTTTTTTTTAAAATTTTGTTTTCCTTTTTATTTTATTTTTTTTTTTCGCTTTTTTATTTCTTTTCTTCCTTTTCCCCAACCAGTTTTGACATCGGTGTGTGTGATTCAATCCCACTTAATTCCAGCTTGACCGCCATCCCTTCCCAGAGCAGAGCAGTGCACAGACCAGTGCACACGTGTGTGGAGACACGAGTGGTGTGACTTCCATTAACCCTTTCCAGGCTGGGGGGGGGAAGAAACGGGCTGATGGGAGAACTGTTACGGAACTGGAGGAGCTGTGACACCTCGGTGGGGGGGGGAACTGGGTCTGGAGCTGGAGAGGGTTAAGAGAAAGGGTGTGATACGTGGTTTATCCACCCCCCTCACCACACTCAGAGCATGTCACTGCCCCCAGCAGCCTGCATGCACCCCCCGCCTTCTCCCACCCACGGAGCCGCCTGGGGAGGAAGGCGAGGAGGAAGAGGAGGAGGATGAGGATGGTCAAGTCCCCCCTCCTGGTCAGCATACAGCACAAAGAGGAGGGGACAGAGGGTTCCCACCCCAGGCCGTGGGTTCATCACTTATAGAAATTAGCCAGCTGTTAGGATTCCTCTTTCTTAACCACGCTTTATTATTATTTTTTTTTTTTAGGGCTTCCGCCCTGGGGGTTGTTTTGATTTATTTTGAATTTGTTTTCCTTTTTATTTTTTTTTTTTTGCTTTTTTATTTTTTTCCTTCCTTTTCCCCAACCAGTTTTGACATCGGTGTGTGTGATTCAATCCCACTTAATTCCAGCTTGACCGCCATCCCTTCCCAGAGCAGAGCAGTGCACAGACCAGTGCACACGTGTGTGGAGACACGAGTGGTGTGACTTCCATTAACCCTTTCCAGGCTGGGGGGGGGAAGAAACGGGCTGATGGGAGAACTGTTACGGAACTGGAGGAGCTGTGACACCTCGGTGGGGGGGGGAACTGGGTCTGGAGCTGGAGAGGGTTAAGAGAAAGGGTGTGATACGTGGTTTATCCACCCCCCTCACCACACTCAGAGCATGTCACTGCCCCCAGCAGCCTGCATGCACCCCCCGCCTTCTCCCACCCACGGAGCCGCCTGGGGAGGAAGGCGAGGAGGAAGAGGAGGAGGATGAGGATGGTCAAGTCCCCCCTCCTGGTCAGCATACAGCACAAAGAGGAGGGGACAGAGGGTTCCCACCCCAGGCCGTGGGTTCATCACTTATAGAAATTAGCCAGCTGTTAGGATTCCTCTTTCTTAACCACGCTTTATTATTATTTTTTTTTTTTAGGGCTTCCGCCCTGGGGGTTGTTTTGATTTATTTTGTTTTTTTTTTTTTTTCCCCTATAGGGTCTAGAGTGCTTGTGTTGAGTAAAAGGGAGAAGCCCAACCGTTCAAAGCTGCTAAATGTTCTCTTTGCCATAAAGATTCCGTGTAACCGTGTGATCACATTATAGGATTCTCTTCTGTCCCTAGGTGTTGGTCTGACTTCCTTTGTTTTCAGGAGGGGGGTGGGGGTAGTGCCTTGATCACTGTCGGTCTCTGCCACACGGAGACCATCCTAGAAGCTGTATTTACAATATAGCACAGCTGGGAGTGTACTGACTTTACCAGCAACTGAAAAAAAAAAAAAAGCTTAAAATGAAAAAAAAAAACCACAAAACAACAAAAAAAAAATAATAGGCTTTTTCCTAGCCAGTCCTGTGCACGTGAATCGGGGTGAGAGAAGACTCGGGGTGGTAACTCAAGGGAAGGAAACCTGGGAATGCAGGAGGGAAGCCTGGAGCAACCCCCGGGGGAAGATTTCTGGCCCTGGGTATGTGTTTTGGGGTTTTGTTTTTTTTTTTTTCCCCAGGCTCCAGGGAAAATGGTTGGATTTCGAGGGGAATCGGGGGCGGTTGCTGCGGCCCTGGGCAGTGGGGTCTCCCCTCCCGGCCTCTGAGATCCAACAGCTTTTACTTACAGCACGAGACGAAGCACAAGTGGTGGAGATGTGGGTGTGGGGAGGTTGGAAGGGAGCCCTGCGCGTATGTTTTAAATTATTTTCCTCTTAGAAACTTTTATTTTAATGATCTGTGACCTGTCAGGGAAAGAAGAGAGATTGTGTGAGCACAGGACAAAAATAAAACGGCTTATTCACTGTACCAGCCTTGGCTTCATGGGTTTTTATTTTTTATTATTTTTTTTGTAAAAGATTAAGCACGTCAGGGAAATCAAAGAGCCTCTTCTCCCAATTTTTTATTATTATTATTATTCTTTTTTGTAAAAGATTAAGCACATCAGGGAAATCAAAGAGCCTCTTCTCCTGGGTCCTTCTCACCCCCGGTAGCTCCTGGCTGTCCTGCAGGTGGGGTTTGCCTCGGGGAGGGAGTCTCTGTGGCCGCAGGTAACGACTTAGAAAGGGAGGAAAAGGACAAAGCTCCTTCCTCTGTGGGCACCAGCTCCATCTCGGTCCTTGGCTTCCCTTAAATCCCACCAGCATCTTCTTCAACAAAGCCGGAGGAAAAGCGTGTTTCTGGTTAAATGTGGAGCGAGTCCTGGGTCCCTGGGCCAAAAGCCACCAAAGCTGCTGCGGTTCAAAGGCTGGGGCCACCCGGGCACAGCCTTGTCCCTCTTGGCGAGGGGGACAAAAATCTCCTGTCCCTTCTGGCAGCCGAGACACTGGCCCCACCTTCCCCCCAGGTCTGGGCCCTTGGTGATGGAGCCAAAGTTTATTCAATCCCGGGTGGATTTACATCGGGATCCATGGGCAGCTCCTTCCATCCCCTTCCTGCAGCAGACTGAGCCCTTGGTCGCTGCCTGAGTCCATGGAGGGGCCTTGCTGGCCCCTTGGCAAGTGTTTTGCTGCTCGGTGGCCATCGCTGTCGGGGCCAGCGGCGCTGAAGGTCTGGCTACGAGCCACGGGGCAGCTGCCAGCCCAGGGCTGGCTCCAATCCCCAGTTTTCAGCCCCGTTTCCCCCCGGGCAGGGCTCAGCAGAGCTGGGGTCACGTCCAGCCGGGCTGGAGGGCAAGGCCCTGACTTTGCTGCTCTTTTGTGTGAGGGATTGTGCTCAGAGAGCCCCGACGGGGACAGGCTGCTCTGAAACCTCCACATCAGGGCAGGCAGGAGCCCAGGCCCTGCAGAAAAACTCCAGGAGCCACTTGGATGAATGAACCAGGGATGGAAAAACCTGCTCCTGGGATCTGCTGATGCATCGGAAGAGCCTGGGCTGGGGCTGGACCCTGCCCTTCAGAGAAGGTGTTTGGAGACGCCTTCCCTGGGGCTCAGCACCGAGGGGCTCTAGATTTTTTTAAGTTATAGACGCCTTTCTCTAAGGCTTTAATACCCATCATCCTACTGGCCCTGCCTTTTCTCCTCCAACATCATGATTAGGTAGCAGTTCCTGCACTTCTACATCGAGTATTAAATAAACGGAGCAGTAAAAGCCACCACTTTGGGGCCACCAAAGCCTTGTGTCCACCAGCCTCACACCTCCCGCGGCCCCCACAAAACCAGAAGAAGCAGCCAAAAGCGCGTTGCCAGCCCCGCTCTCCTCCCCAAAGGTCTTCCACCAGGGTTTCCATGGGGCAAATGGCATTTTCCTGCAGATTAAACCTCTTTTTATGGGACTGTTCATCTCCTGCTGCCAGAGTCGAGCCCAGACCAGGCACCAGCTCAGCCAAGGGGATGGCAAAGCCTTAAAATCCACACTCCGAGGTGGTTCCTGTCTCTCTTCCTGGGCTCTAGGGTATTTATTTCAGATATTCCTTCAGGGGCTGGTTTAGAAGTTAAGACCAGCTTGCAAAAAACCCCCACAGGGATTCCCCCTGCCCCAGTGACATTGTGAGAAGGTTCCAGCCCCCCTGGTGTGGTCACTGTCCCCTCCCCGAGTGGAGCGGGGACACGGATGGGAAGATGCTCTGCTCTCTCTCAGGTTCTAGTCTCCCTTTGCTGCCTCCCCTGCCAAGAACGGGACCTTTTACTGCACATCTCTGCTCCTACATCTCCTTGTTCATCCACAAACCCCCCCCCAGCAACCCCCGGGAGGCTGCAGGTGAGCAAAACACCCTTCTCCAGCCTCCACCACGGCTTCAGAGCAGCAAAACCCGAGCTGAGACCCAGCCTGACAGAACCCATTCCCCCCCAGCTCCCTGCCCATCACAGCCCAGCACCTGTAACGATGAGGAGGGGGGCGAGGGGAGCTTGTGCAGCTCCTTCCCTCGGCCGCTGTCACCCCCCCGTGTCACGCCACGCGCCGTCACAGCCGCCGGCCGCCTGCCAGCCCCTAATCAGGTGAAGTGCAGACCTTTCATTTGCCGTGGCAGGAAGCACTTAGCCACCAGCAGGGCCCTCGGGCCTCTCATCTCGGCCAGAGCCAGGGCTCAGCAGCCCTTTTAGCCCTTTTAACCCGTGTCCGGCTGCTGCCCGAGCCCTCGGCGCGGTTTCTGCCGACCTCCACCACGGAGGAACCGATTCTGCCCCTTTCCTGCCCCAATTCTGCCAGCCCTGCACCACGACGCCTGGGCAGGGACCCCCTCACCGTCACCCGCAGATTTCTGAGGGTCTTACGCAGGTCTGAGGCTATTTTCGAGGTGTCCCATCCCGCTTAACACAGTGCCACAGCCAGAGACAACCCCTACCCCAAAACCTGCAGCTCCCCAGGAGCCCCCCAGGACCCGGCACGGCCGCGGTCCCACCCCCGGGATGCAGCAACACACATCCTCCAGCTACGATCCATCGATCGCCCCGGAGCCTCCCCGGGGAAACGCAGCCTTCTTGGGTTCAATTAAGTGGACGTTACCCCTTCCATCTCCAACGATTAATACAGGTTTAATTGCTGCTGCTGGGGCAGGGCAGGCAGTTCCCCATCCTGTGCTGCTGCAAATAACCCGGATTTTAACCGCCTGTGGAGTTTTGCAGCCCTGAGTGCCTGTGCTGCTGCAAATAACCCGGATTTTAACTGCCTGCGGAGTTTTGCAGCCCTGAGTGCCAGTGAAGAAGTTCCTCCTCATGTTCAGGTGGAACTTCCATGTTCACGTTTGTGCCCGTTCCCTCTTGTCCTGTCCCTGGGCACCACTGAAAAAAGCCTGGCCCCATCCTCCTGACACCCACCCTTTGAGTATTTATCAGCATTGATCAGATCCCCCCTCAGCCTTCTCTCCTCCAGACTAAAGAGCCCCAAGTCCCTCAGTCTCTCCTCATCAAAGAGATGTTCTAGTCCCCTCATCATCTTCATAGCCCTTTGCTGTCCCCTCTCCAGCAGTTCCTCAAGCGAGGCCATCTCCATCTTCAGCCAAACCGCCACCAGAACCATCACCAGAACCACTGCCCGAGCTTAAAAACCTGTCCCTGAACACCAAGTGCCAAAGTCTGCTGGAGGTGGGGATGAGGACTGAAGTGAAGGTCACTTACCCCACCATGTCCTGGCCAGGAAGACACACAGCACACACTCCCGGGGGCCAAGGAGGTCCAAAATCACAGCTAATCCCATCTCCAGGGGCGAGACTCCACCGGGGCCCACAGACACTAACCTCGAGGGCATTGCTCTTCTCCAGATGGAAGTAAGTCCAACATCAACCAGAACCTGCCGTGGCTCCTCCGAAGCTGCCGCCGCTGCCGAGGCCCAGCGGGAGCCCAGGGGCTGCCCCGGGCTGGGCGAGAGCTAACCCTGGGGAGAAGGAACCGACAGCTCCGTCACCTGCGCTACCTCCTTCCTCACTCATCCCCCGCACAAAGAGCTGGGAGAGAAGAAAAAAATCAGGATTATAAATCTAAAATTTTATTGAGACAAAAACTGACAGAGCTCGGTATGAAGTTAAAATCCAAACACGTACTTTACATTTAAACAACGTTTTTCACAGAAACCTAAACACATGCTTTTTAAAAAAAGGTTTGTACAATGCAAGTCGAGATACATACCACCCTACGCGGAGGTGCCAGGAGTCTGGTGGGGCTCACGACTCCAGACATTAAATAGTTCAGTATTTGTAATAAATCTGATTATTTTCTTTTAAAAAAAAAAACAACAACAAACAAACAACACAAGCCCCTCAGAAGATTCAGGGTAAAAGACACGGCTCCAGCACCCAAGGTCTGGCCTCCTACAAACCATCGCTCCTTAGGGGAGAATATGGAATTAGTTCTTTGATTCTTTTTTTTTTTTTTTTCTTTTCCTTCTCCTTGTGCTGCTGTTGATTTCTTTTCCCTCCCACAACTAAAGGGTTCCCCGACGCTGCTGGGCTGGACAGTCAAATTCAGGTGAGAAAAGGAAAAGGCGGTCAAAAGTCTCTCTTCCCCTCCCTCCCCCCCCCAAAATATTTTGAGAAATAGCACCTTGTAACAGAAAGAAGGATAGAAAGGCTTGTAAAGGGTTAAAATCCATTCCCTGGCCCCCCCCTCCACCCTCCCACATACAATGCATGTGTCAGTAACTGGC